TGCTTAACGCCACTAAAGCCGGCAGTTAAGTCAAACAACAAATTAATCAAATTAAACATCTGATTGGTTTTCAACTTAAGTGTGTGATTAAAGATTGTTGTGAACTTTAATAAGTTTTACTACACAAGTAGGATCATACGTCATAAATCTGGTTTATATTAAAATAAATGTACAAAGTAACTTTAATCTTTAATCTATGCCAATCCAAACACATCTATTGAAAATATACAAGTACAATTATGATGTTCAGAAATCACAAAAAAATACAATCAGGAATATATGGACACTCTCCTACACTAACCAATTCTTGATACAATACCACAAGACAAAATTTCTTTGATGTCCAAGCACTGAACGATTGGAACTTACTACCAGAACACGTAACAAACAGAAATAACAAAATTCATTTTCACCATGTCAAAATTCACACTAAAGCTAAGAGTAAAGGCAACAGCATTAGCTCAAAGCCTCTTTTAATCAATAAAGAAAAGGATCACTAAAGGTAAGAATCACTAAGGCAAGAATCACTATAGGCAAGAATCACTGAATACAGATCATTTTGGTTGCACTTCATTTCGGTCGCGCCTCACTTCGGTCGCGCTTCATTTCGGTCGCGGTTTGTTTTCAACAAATATATGGAGCGCCAATGGAGTTGCGAAAACGCTAATTTAATATAACTAGACCTAATCATCATTGTAAGTTCGTCAGTCGGTTTATCATACTTTTTTTTAAATTTATGTTTTTGTTGTCTTTCTACTAAGTAACAACATGGGCTACTTAAAAGCAAATTTCAGATGGTAACAACATTCAATTCAATTAAAATCAAAGATACATTTTATTGACAAGTATAGTATATGAAAACGCAACAAAAAAAATAGCATGAAGCACATATTCCATTGTTTCAATCATAAGATTATGTTTCAATCATGAATATATCACCGTAAATGGAAGAAAGAAAATATGTTAGTAGAAAGATAAAATGTTGTTAGTAGACAGATAGCAAAACGGAAATAAAAAAAATACTTAGGCCTATAATAAACCGACTAATCATAGGGCCTAGGCATATTAAATTTTACGTTTTCGCAACTCCTTCGGCGTTTCATATATTTGTTCGAAATAAACCGCGACCGAAGTGAAGCACGACTGAAATGATCGGCTACCGAATCACTAAGGTAGGACTCACTTAAAAGTAAGAATCTAGTCACTTAAACTAGTATTCTTTCAAATAAGACAGAGATGGTATTATCATGGAAGTAAATATCTTATTGTCTGACACACAATCTGGAAACCTCGCAATTTCATTAAAAATATTAGCTATTAATTTAAAAGGAGAAAATTAGTTATGATTTTCAATAAACACAAAGATCAAACTAACTTTTCATTTTCACTCGTACTAATCAATTACGGCTAGTTACTAAGCCACCTCTGCTTTCTTCTGTGGTCTATTTTCTCCTCACAAATAATGATAAAAATGGTTTTGGCCTTGTTGGATCTGTGTCTTGTAACATAATCTGATAGTATCAAGTTCATAACGTTCATCTCATTTTTGCCACCAGTTTACAGTCCAACAGAGCTCTGTTGTCTTTCACTACACAATAGCCCCTACCTCATTTGCATAAATTACTGTTGGGTGAAATGTCAGCCTTTGTCTTGTGTTCTTTTGTTTTACTTGTTTAAATAACAATAGCTAATGAGATAGGTGTTTTATATAATAGGATATATCCTAATTAATTAAAGATTATAGTGTCACATTTGAGGATGATGATAATCATGATGATGATAATGATGATGTTAATGATGGTGATGGTAATGTTAATGAGGATTATGACGATGATGATGATGATGATAATGACTGATTATAATAATGAAGATGAAGACAATTAAACAAGGTTGATAAACATAATAATGGTGATAACTGATATTGTATTTTTAACTAAGATATGTGGGGATAAGGAGGTGGGCGTGGCAATGTGGACTTCATATTGTGGCCCCCCTGCACCAGTCAGAAAATCTCTGAATCCACCCCTGATATTTTCTAAAATTTTCAAGAGATCCAAATTCAACCCTCATTCTTTAAATTAAATATCATCACTACAAAAATTTTGGGGGAGAAAATGTGTGAAGTCTACAACGATGACGACAACATTTCAGGCAGATGTTTCCCCATCTTTCAAACGGAACTCGATGTCAAATGATATAACGAACATACAAATTGAAGTGATGAATCAAAACTATTTGTTCGAACACCTCTTAGTGATAGCTTGACGAGGAATGACCTACATTTAAGAGATTAGGTTAATTAACTTGCCAAACTTGTTAATCAAGACAATAAATCAAGTCCGTCGTTGTCGTTAATTTACTTAGACAAAGTGATTCACGATCGAAGGAACATACGCCGCCAGATTTTTGCAAACTGATATACTGTTATCACATGGCAAGAGAAAGAAAATGACACTATATTAAAGACTGGTATTTTTAGAATTTGATACAATATGACAAGTAGGTGTTGGTACATGAAGTTGAAAACAAAGAATGGAAAGTAATCAGTTTTCAATCCTAAGCCGATGGAGTGGGATTTTGTCTTAATCAGTGAAACTATTAAAAATATATTGATTTGGCACCAATGGCATTCCATATTACTTCTTTCTGCAGCAATGGCCTTCCATTCTATACTTTTTGCTAGGTTTCTAATTCCAATCCATAGAGTTATAATAAGAATTGTGTAACAGCTTGATGTTCCATCAAAATTCAACAACGTAACAAAAACAGACGTTGGTGGCACTCTCTTAAATTATCTAACATGGAAAAGTTAATAAATTAGAGGCTTGTGGCAAGTCTATAAGATAGGGTAAAAGTTAATAAAAACAATGATTACAGTGATGATGATGATGAAAAATACAATGATAATTATAATGATGATGGATATGATGATTATGATGGTAATAATGACGATGGTAATGATAATGATGACAAAGGCTTTGATGATAGCAATGGTAATGATGATGATGCTAATGGTGATGATGATGATGGTTATGGGGGTGTTGGTGATAAAGATGATATGATGATATACAGTTATATTGATAGACTGTCTTAATCCATAGGAATACTAAACCCCTTTTTTCCTATCCAAACATGACGGATTTCAATTACTTGGCTCTCTGTCGTCTTTCAATCCCACAATAGACTTTTCCGGAGTGTCAATCAAACTTAACAACTGACTAATCAGAACAGCGCTAGGAATACACGCGCGTCTCACAAACACACGTGTTGTCCCACAAACGCACGTGTTGGCGTATGTTTTAACACTGTCGCCTTGTGGGACCTTAGCAACAATATCCAAGGGGCGGGGCTTAGCGAAAAGGTCCATTGCTGGGTCCAACGAAATCCAAAGTGATATGTACAGTACTTTTCTTTTCATTCACAAAATCCACGACTGCTGGATTGGTATAGTAGCTTAATAAATGGGCACACTATACAGTTACGATCCAAGTCGAGCTCAACACAACTTTTTTGACTGCCTGCTACACACCGAGTGGGGAGCAGACAATAAAAACGAACCTCGCCAATACAGCACGGAATTCACATTACAATAGAACGTTATGCAATATGCTTATTAGACGAAACATATGGCAAGCAAAAGTTTGAGTCTCTACACTATTATAACTTAATATTATAGTAGTAATAATAAAAATAATAATATGAAAACTTACATAGCGCCAAATACACCTCAAAGGATGAGTACGCTGATGGCACTTATTTCGCTTAACGATTTTAAAAAGAATGCTTTGAAAGTCATTAAAAAAAAGTTCACAATGAATTCCCTGAGCAAAAACTGTCGCTGATATGACAAAACCATATTTACATATCGTCTAGTCAATCAGATTCCTCTCAGCACTTTACATTCTATTTGTCATTAACACCAGCATTCCCATTTCAACAGGTACTTACCTCTGACATACCACACAAAACTATGTACGTATCTTGATGCTAGTATTCGTTTCTTCTTATCTTAGGTTCTTTTATTCGCATAATACAGCCTAGAGGAGAATGCATAGATGAAATACATATTTTTCAATAACATATGCCGTTACTAGATAATAATTAGTGCTTTCAGCATCCTCTTGATGTGTGCATTTATGTGTGTTTGGAAGGGTGGGGTCTGTGCAAAAAAAATCCAGATGGAGGAGAAAATAAAAATAACATTTTATTGTACCGTAAATGTAAACAGTGGGATGGTTAAATGCTTTAAATTTATGTAATTAGGAAGAAATATCTTATTTTTGGAGATTTCATGGCAGCAGAGAGCTTAAAACAATTAAAGAAAAACTTTTTTTTCTGAAATTTCCATTTTCTTATGGCAACTCATCAAAAACAAAATTTCATTTTTATTTGAAATCATCATTATTGGCAGCCGCGTTTGCTGAAGAAGGTATAAGAAAAGCCTTGCCTTATTAGAAAACTGAAAAAACCCAAATAAAACACTTGGGGGCAGCAAACATGTCAAGTACTGTAATTCTGTCAACATTTGCCATGGTATAATAATAATAATAATACACATTTTTAAAGCGCCTATTAAAGCAAACAAAACTGGCTTGTCACCGGCGCTGGAGGATGTTGGAAAGAAGTTGAACTATTTGAAGAGGAATGATTTAAGAGTAGATTTGAATAATTGCGGATCAGAAATGATACGTAATTGAGGAGGCAGAGAGTTCCAGAGTTTAGGAGCAGAGAAAGAAAAAGAGCGA